AATAAATAAATAAATAAATAGATCCAAGTGAACCTCAAAAAAAAAAAAGTGGCATGTGCAGTAAGTGAAGGTGACTGTGATGAAGACTTGGTAAGTAGGGCTTGGTTCAATGAGCTTTGGTTGTGTAGTCGCTGATGCGTTAGCCATTCGAACTCGCCAGTGCTCAGCTGGAGAAGACAACACTTTCTGCATCTGTAAAGATGCACAGCCGAGGAACTCCAAAGGGGCCGATCCGTTCTATCTTAGGGCTGCTATGAGTCAGAAGTGATTTGATGGCAGCGGGTTTGGTTTTTTGGAGTGGTTGGTTCGATTATTTCAAAATCAGCGAAAATTTATATAATATTAAAGCAGAGCTTCAAAGACGATGGCATTCTGCTCACAGAAGGCAGCCAACCTTCTTGGTGGCTCTCCACAGTACTTCCAATAATCTAACCCCAAGCATAAGGCTCCTAAAAGGGCACTTCTGATTCTCTCATTCCAGGGCTTGGCCTTAAAATTTTTCCCTCTCCAAGTTAGGATGACGAATTACTCAAATTGTAAAAATACAAGTCTGCTCCTGTTTTGTCATTGGCCAGGACAGAACTAGTTTGAAGCCCTGCAGTAAAGGGCAAATAGGAGTGGTCTATAGCCAGGGCACCTGTAACTCAAACTACCTATATATTGATGTTTTGTACTAAGTCCATTTAGACTCACAGAAATTCTATAGGACAGAGTAGAAGTTCCCATAGGCTTTCCTAGAATGTAACCCTTATGAGAGCAGGTTGTCTGCTTGTTTCTCCCATGGAGTAACTGATAGGTTTGAACAAATGACCTTTCAGTTAGCAATCTAGTGTTTACTGACAGCATCAGGACCAGGACTGACCAGGACTTCATAAACCGAAAGAAGATAGCTAATAACATAGAAAATGGGAGTGACTATATTAGACCTGTAGGCTATAGGTTAGATTTAACTTTAAAACTTGGTAAGTATACTTGTTGAAATTTGGGTGTAACTCTCCAAAGTAAAGAAATAGAATGTATAAATTACAAATACCCACTATTATAGAGTGGATCTAAACTACTCAGTGATCCTGAGTTGCCCAATTCATAACAGTATCAAAATTACAGTTTTGAAGTAGCACCGCAAATAATTTATGGTGGTGGGGGGGTCACCACAACATGAGGACCTGTATTAAATGGACACGGCATTAGAAAGGTTGAAAACTACTATTCTATAGGGGTTTTGAGATTGTACATGTTTATGGGATTGGACTATCTCTTCTTTCTCTCTTGGTGTGTCTGATGGGTTTGAACTATCAACCTTTTGGTTAGCAGACCAATGCTTAACCTGCTGTCATACAAAGGATACTTAAATTACAAATAAAGGGGAAGAATAAAGAAAAGTTAAATTGCAAGAAATCTCAATGAATCTAAATAAAGAGGTTTTCAAGATACTACTTAGTTTGTAGACAGTATCTGAAGTCATGGTACTAGATGCACTTTCCTATGAAGAGTGATTAAGGTAAAATTAGGAGTAAGGATATGGAGAAGGAACTACTGATATGTTTGTTAAATTTCTTAGCAATCATAGCTTGACAAGGTAATAAAATTGTTTGTATCATAGTCTACCTATATATTGATTTAGGGACAACAACTTTGATGGAAAACTGCTTGCCCTCTACATTTATTTTAAAGCTTGATGCTACACGGGGTGTTTGCAAGAGAAAAAAAATGTGATTCCTTTCTGAATATGAGACCTGTTATTAAAAGGATACGTGTTTCTTTGATTATGACATCTCTTGTGGCTTGGTGGAAAACCATCTGGTAGAAGACATAAATTATCTGACACACAAATTCATCATCTTCTTGTTGAGCTGAAAGAAAAAATAACAAATAATAGCATACAATATTTACATCCCAAGTTAAAATAACTAAGAGAAATAGAGATTGAGAAAATGAAAAGTGACAAGTAGACAGGTAAAGGAAAATTATTTAAAATTATATATCATTTAAATTATAATTCACTCCAGAATCAACACTGACTCCTAGTGACCCTATTGGACAGGGCAGAACTGTCCCTGTGGGTTTCTGAAACTGCAAATCTTTATGGGAGTAGAAAGCCTTATATGTTGTTAATGAGGAAATTTCATAATAATGTAACTTCAAAAGTTGTAGGAAATTGGGTTGTAGTTAAATAGTTTAAAATACTTTGAGCTAAAAATATTAAGAAAAAAATTTTTAAAAAGAAAAACGATTACATCAGTTCAGAGGTTAAATCAGGCTGCTTAACATAGTTCACCTCAAAAAAAAATTTTTAAATCAAGTTGTACCTTGAAGACTTGAAAGATGAGATTGGGTTAAGATAAAGGTTCCCAAAGTTTTCATGTGTTTTTTAAAAAATCATTTCATTGGGGGCTCTTACAAAAATCATAACAATCATAAATCAATTATATCAAGCATACTTGATCACTGTCATGATAATTTTCAAAACATTTTCTTTCTCCTTGAGTTCTTTGATATCAGCTTCTCTTTATTTCCTCCCTCCCCTCCCCTACCACCCTTGTGAACCCTTAACAAGTTATATATTATTATTATTTCATATCTTACACCATCAGATGTATCCCTTTCACCTACAATTCTGTTATTTGTGACCTGTGAAGGGGGTTATATATGCATCATTGCTATCAGTCCATTCCCCCCACGCCCACCATGGAATCATTACTTCCATTACTGTTTCTTAGGGGCTATCTATCCTGGATTCTGCATATCAAAAGCTCTGATCTCTACCAATGTGCATATGCTGGTCTAGCAGGATTTGTGTGGTAGAACTGGGGCCATAATAGTGGGGGGAGGAAGCATCAAAGAACTAGAGGAATGTTGTGTGTTTCATTGATGCTATACTGAACCCTGGATGTATTGTCCCTTAGCTTGCCATCCCCTTTGCAGAAAAAAAAATTACGCAGCAGTCCCTTGGCAATTAAAATCTTTTGTACTATGGCCATAATCTAGTACTGAGTATATGTACCTGCTTTTGCAGTCCCTGTCTCATTCCAGTGCCCACCCCCTACAAGGGGTGGCATAGCCTGCTGTGGGAAACACCAGTTAGGAGAACCGTAAATAGTACATATATTGTTACTAAACCAATCCCGTTGCTTTTGAATCCATTTTACTCATGGTGAGCCCATATGTTAGAGCAGAACTGCTCTATAGGGTGTTCGCAGTTGCTATTTTCATTAAAGTAGGCTGTCAGGTATTTCTTCTGCAATGCTACTGAATGGATTTGAAATGACAACCTTCAGGATAGCAGATGAGGGTAAACCATTTGTACCTCCAAGGGATACTACCTTTGCCTAGTCTGAAGAAATTTATTAACTTCTATGTTCCCACTGTGAAATGACAACATATTTACCACTGCTTTTTGTTTTTTGGTCCATCATAAAAATCAAAACAAGCCTAGTTTGTGAAATAAATCTAGTTCTATTTTGTCTCTATGTTTCTCTAATGTTTATTTCACATGAGAAAAACAATTATTAAAAAAGATCACATCTTATGAATTAAGTTTTTGGCAGGAATTGGATAATTAAAAAGAGGTATTTCCCTTTTTGAATAGTGTTAACGTAATTACATTCCAGTTTCTCAAGCCCAAACAAACAACTCACTGTCACCAACTGATTGCAACTCATAGGTGCCCTGGTGGCATAGAGGGTTATGTGTTGGGCTTCCAACCTCAAGGTCAGCAATTCGAAATCACCAGCATCTTTGCAGGAGAAAGATGAGGCTATCTGTTCCTGTAAAGGTTTACAGCTTCAGAAATCCACAGGGCAGTTCTACTCCATTCTATAGTGTTAATAGGAGCTCTACTTACTAGCATGAAATAATAAGGTATTTTCAACTAAGTTTTTACTAATTAATTATAATAATAAAAAGGTAAAAAACCAAAAAAGAAAGTAAAAAAATTACATAGTCCTACAGACTAATTAATAACTGTCCATTACAAAGAGAATAATTCAGCAGAATAGCTGTTGTCCACGGATTAATACGTAAAAGCAAATGGTAATTACCTACATTAATAAAAATTTCAGGTACCGGTTATGGAATTTGGATGTATACCTTGTTATCAACTCTTGTCATGGTTTGATATGTCATATGAAGGTAAACCAAAATGTACTACTACAAAATCATATAAATCTTTATTAAGCAAAAATATCAAAATGTGAAGCTATTAATTCTTGACTTATCTAAGTCTACATAGTTCTGGAGGTGATGTTTCGCCTCTCTAACCCGTCTCTGAAACACCATGGTCTTTGATTTAGTTAGCTGTTCAAGATTGCTAGAAGAAGGGTATTCGTTGGTTCTGAATTGCTCGATAACACTTTTCACTTTGCAATCTAGAGCTCTTTGTTATTACTTTAGCCAACTCCAGAGTAGGTATATTTAATTCATTTCTCAACTACATAATTTAAATTACCATAAATGATTAATATAAAAGAAACTAAATCCCAAGGTTTCCATTTCTGTGTTTTATATTTTAAAAAATGTAAAGTAAAACTACTTGAGACATTACCATACACATAAAGGAAAATTCTAATTTACCATTTAATAATTCAATGAGTGCAGGGATTATTCCAGACTTGGCTAGCAATGCAGCACAAGAGTCATCCATAGATACAGTTCCAATCATTATGACCACTTCTAAAACAAGGTCATCTTCTGCAGTACCTAGTAAAGTGAAATCATGGAAAGTTTTCATTGAAATGTCCTCATATACAGGTGGAGTCTGGCTATCAGATAAAATAGCATCTGAGGTCTTAAAACAAACAGCCAACTAAGTGGTGTTAACTAATTTCACATGAAAAAAGCTTACCAGCCTGTGTGATCTGAGGATTATAAATACAACCCAAGACTGAAGGCGGGAATGGTATTAAGAGCTTAAATTCTGACCACCCAGTTTGCAGATGCCTATGAAAGAGAGTGAAAGCCTCAAATCCATTTGCAGAGTCCCTACCTGGATTAAACCTCTGGTGAATAGCCTCTGACCATAGTCTAGGGATATGAAGGGCCTTGCTGACAGATAAGGTGCAATGTAATGCAGATGTAATTAGGTTAAAATGTATCCACCCTATCATTTGCTCTCCCTTTTGACTAATTTTAAAGTTGGTCTAGTTTTTAATATTTTCTGCTTTCTTTTCAATTGAGATCTTTCTGCTTTATTTTTTAAATATGTTTTTCTGTACATGCAATCCAGGATAGGTAAAATTCTATAAAGACAGTAACTGGATTAATGGCTTCTTGGAGGTGTGGCAGGGGAGGCTGAGGGGAGCTAATAAGTAAAAAAGGGAAGAAAATGTTCTAAAATTGTAGTGATAACCATATAACTCTTTTTAATACAATGGAATCATTGAATTATATATCAATAAAATTATTAAAATATTTTTCCGTATCTTTCAGAGACAAAGACAAAAATGCTAACACTAATTTTGAAAATAATACTCTGATACAAATCCTCTAATACTAGCAAATTTTCAATGCACAGAAAGATAATGAAACTACTACTAAATGACTTAGTATAACTCCTTGACATGATTGCTGATAGATTCTTTTTCCAGACTTCCATTTCACTTAGACCGGTGGGGCTAATAATGGAAGCAATAGTTTGGAAAATACAACTGAGCGACACAGAGAGTAAGAATCTAACTTGAAGGACTGTGTGCATGCCTGCATGAGTGTAGAGGGGATTTGGCTAAGTAAGCAGGGGAGAGTAGGACAAAAAAACAATGAAAGTAGGAAACTGAGGAGAAATATTATATCTAAAAAATATTTTGTTAGCAAAATATGAAGATATCTGGAGCAAATACTCATCTTGTTAAGAGAATAGTCAGAACTAGAGCTGCAAGAAGATAAATAAATATAGCCTAGCACTATGTCACTCTTGGGTCCGTCTGGTCAATTCTGGCTCATGGCAGTCCCAGGTGACAGAGTGGAACTGCCTCACAAGGGTCACTGGGCTGTAATCACTATGGAAGCAGACTGCCAGGTCTCTTCTCCTGTAAAGCCACTGCTGGGGTTGAACCGCTCACTTTTTGGTTAGGACTTAATTGCTGTGCCACCAGAGTTCCTTTCTAGGATGTATATAACAAGGTAACAAAATGCTCCACTAGCAGTATTATACATAGCAGAAAAAAAATAACTTAGTGATTATGCAAAAGTAGAATTCTTAGCACAGACCTGGTTTTAGTTTATCCTTTAGGTACGGAACCAACTTGTACTCCTTAAGAACCAATTCCCAGTCTAAATCTGGAATGGTCAGGTTTGCAAGTGTTCCTAAACATTCTATCACAAACTCTTCCTCTTCATCATTAGATATCTGGGCTGCAAGGTCCCCAACATAATCCTGAATAAAACAGAAACATTTAATACAAATTTAAAATGTTTTCTGCAAAAGAGCCAACCCAGTAAATTAACCTATGCTGCTGTTACGTTAGGGTCCGTCAAGCCGACTGACTCACAGCAGTACTGTGCACACAGAACGGAACAGTGTATAGACAGGTGCCAGCTTCACAATCGTTGCTATGTTTGCGCCTATTGTTGCAGCCACTATCTCAATCCATCTCAGTAAAAATCTTCCTTTTTTTTTTCTGGTTCTTTACTCTACCCAAGCATGATGCCCTTTTCCTAATTTGCCTCTCCTGATAACATGTTCAAAGTACCATATACACTCGTGTATAAGCCAAGATTTTTAGTACATTTTTAATGTAGTTTTTGTGGTAAAATTAGGTGCCTCAGCTGATATTCGGGTTGGCTTATACTTGAGCATATATGGTATGTGAGATGAAGTCTTGCCATCCTCGCTACTAAGAAGTATTTTGGCTGTACTTCATTGAAGACCAATTTGTTTGCTCTTCTGGCAGTCCATGGTACTTTCAATATTCCTCACCAACACCATAATTCAAGTACATCAGTTCTCTGATTTTCCCTTTCTTCTTTTCCCTTCTTTCCCTCACCCTTCTCTCTCCTCCCCTTCCTTCAGGAAGGGAAACAAAGTATCAAATATGATTCTCTTTTAAAAATAATTTTGAACTACGTAATTAAAGTTTAGGCATTTAGACTGCGGTGGGTGGTTGGGTAGTCAGGAAACAATAAACCCAAAGCACAACATGGAAATGTATGACCTAATCATACAAAGAAATTCCTAACAGTAGAGCCCATTAGGTTGTGAATTAGTATTTGATCAGAGCTCAGGAAGAGTTACATTTTCAAATGCTTTATTTTAAAACTCCAATCCTTACTTTATTTTATTAATAGACAATAAGCCAAAAACTATACATACAATAAACAAATTTTTAGTTGGTCCATCATGTTGGGAAATGTTCCTAATCATTTTCATCAGCAATGGATCCTTGAATTTCAGAGCCCTCTTCATGAGCATCTTAAGCCCATTTCCTGATAAAAAATATAATACAAAATTCCTTCAATAAAATGAATGCTAACATAAGTTTAGTGTTTTTGGTTCACAGTGCTCAAATGTGAATTTATGCAATGGTGAAATGCAAAAATGTTAAGTATAAAATTATCACATACTTATAGAATATTTTAATTCACTCCAGAAAATTCCCTTGTCTCATTTTCCCATCCAACCCATTCTTCACTTGGAATCATTTTTCTTTCTCTTTCTACTTTCTCTCACCCACCTCTCTTCTCA